TCCTCAAAAGTCCTTCAGGGGAAAGTTTTTTCATATTTGCTGCATGGAATGCAAGAATTGGTGGCCTTAGCAAAGTTTCACAATAGACGTGATCATTTTTCAAAGCACACCCCAACACTTAGGGGGTTGTGTTTTCCAATAGAGTAGACAACAGTCAGGTCAAAAATCACTACAAAGAGAGGCTCTTCTGTTGATACGAGAAGCCTTCAATCCCCAAGCTCCCATTGGGGAGCCCCCCGCCCCCTGCCCTCGCTCTGTCTCCGAGGACCTCTATTGTGATTTATTTCCTCGGAATTTCCATTCCTCCCATGCAGATGCTTCTGGAGTTGGTCATTCCTCCAGCTGGACAGGAAGTACCCTCCCCAGCACACAAAGACACCAAAAAAATAGTAAGAATAAAAAGGAGACTCATAGAGGGAGTCCTTAACTAGTCTAACTAGTACTTGAGCTGACTTGAGGATCTGTGCCAAAACCTCAGCTAACAAGCAAGGGTTCCTTCAGCTCCTTCTGTCATTCTGCCTTCTGTTTACAAAGGACAGTATTTAGGTGTCAGGATGTGGGTCCTCACCAAATACCATCGCTCCATCTCAACCCAAGTTTTATAGTAGTGACTCTCATGGAGATTTGCTTACTTGCTGAAATCTATAGGGAAAAGGCAAGAGAGTTCGCAGCCAAGAATTATTCTGGGCTTCCATAGGCCTCCATCAGCCAAATGTGTGTGACATTCAATTCTTCCTCAACCCATAATCTCAGACACTAGAGTTCAAAGTTACCCATTCAACACAGATGCAGTATCATTATTTCAAGTCTCAGTTCAGTGAGCAAATGTCTTCCCACTTGAAAGGCTCTTCTTTCTAACAGTTATTCTCACAGTCAAGACACTGCTCACCGGTCTGAAAATGCACCCCACTCTGACATTTGTAAAGTACAACTGTCTGGATTAAGATGATGGTCTTGCCAACTTACGTGGAACTGGTCTGAGGTTGTTCAAACGCTTCTTTGGGGATTTTAAGGCCAGGGTTTCGCTTCTTGCCTGTAGGGAAAGATGTAAGGACAAAGTTAAAGTTTAAATCATAGCAAGAATGCAGGGCCAGGCTCAGCACCTGTGGCTCAAGCGGC